AATTGAGGACTCTGGGTCTGTTGCCCAATCTACTGACGATGCTGAGTGCATGATATCTTGTATGTTTGCTTTCCAGACGTTAGGTCTGGATTAGGGTAACTTATGCTCGTTTTTACAACTATATTGAAGTCGAAGGTTGAAACCGCATGATCACTTTTACCTAGGGGTGGCATGTAATGAGGGTTCTCAACGTCATCCTCATAGTGAGTAAATATAAGATCTAGTAAGGATGATTCAGTATCCGGGTCATACCTAGACGCATGTTGTACTAAGGCACATGTTATAACCGTACCAACTAGCTCCTGCTTGAAGGAATTATCTGACGATTCAGTTCTCAGATTTTTCCAGCCTAACATGGGTGCATTAAAGTCCCCAAGGATTTAACATCGACCACTTTGTGACCAAGTATTGAGACTGCTTAGCAGGATCTCATTTACCTCACAGCTTGGACGGCGATAGACCAAACCAATCAGCAGCTCTTGCCCTTGCATTTCAAGCGGAGACTAACTAATTCACACGTCACACTTTCATGTGATACACTGTCGATAATGTCAAATGGGATAGCATTCCAAATGAATAGAGCTACTCCCCCTCCCTTAAGCTTTTGTATTCTGTCGGCCCTTACTAACGTAGAACCCTCGAAATCAAGTTCCATACTATCTATAGGCTGCGTCAGCCAAGTTTCTGTGACTGAGATTATATCTGGCTTTATACATTCGATCTGTACACCTAGTTCCGACCGCTAAGTGAGTAAACTTTGGGCGTTAGTGTAACAGATTCGAAGCCTATTTAGATGGCTTTGATGATTCGATGGAAAAGTCCATAGTCAACGGACAAGTAATTCGTTCTGGGCTTGAATAGACATGAACATGGAAAAACATGTATCTGGCTGTGAGAAGACTCCAATAGGTGAATTTGTGTGACGATTAACCTCTGATTGTTGATGCGCTGATCACTCTCCAACCCACTTGTGTATGTATTTTTGTAAATTTGTCGATGTATAACTAGCATTGATTAGTCTGGGAGAAGCTTTCGCTCGAAGATGAGAAGAAATATTCACTTTATTGAATGTTAGTTTTCCCATATTTTTGGGATGGAAGGTCGAGGGATCGCCTTGGTCGTATCACAGAAAGTCACACTACTTTCAATAGGAGAAGGTGGCTGTTTCAATTTGAGATTAGATTTCGCACTGCAAGTAGATTTTGAAATTCTTGATCCGCGTTTTACTTGCCTCCTAACGCCTTAAAATGTAGGGTAGGTTGTTTTGTTGTGTTTATTTATAGCCGAAATAATGTGCCTGCCGCCTGCTTGTTCTGATCTTTGATATATGGGATATCGCTGGTGAACTATGATGTTAAGTCAAAGCGTCGGACCTCTAGGGAGGAATATTTGTCGGCTGCAACTTTCAGTACATTGGTTAGTGGTTTATAACTTAAGACATGGATTCTCTGCCTAACAACGTGCGTCAGAAATGTTTAGAGGTTAGGTAGTTTGCGCAAAGTTCTAGCCTGCGGTGAGGATATTTTGTTTCTGCTGGAGCGAGTCTTTTAGAGGAGAATTAAAGTTGTTTTCAGGTGTTTTGAACCAGTTATTTAGGGATACTGCCGACGTCTCTGTCTGATACTTATACCATCAAAGCAAGTGGAGAATGGGAATTCGGATACATTAACGTAGATGTCTGATCCAGCTTACTCTTAAGCTTTTTAGGAGCCTCAGAAGTTACCTTAAATTCCTTCCATCAATGGTCGCATTAATTGTTAACAACTGGGAATAATCTATGACAAAATTTAGCCATACCTAGAAAACTTCCATGTTGTGTTACATAACTTAGTATGGGGTATTGCCTAATGGTGTCTACCTCTTCTTTAATCGATGTAATCCCTTCTAGGCTTGTTGTGTGTCCGAGATATTCCATAGTTTGAACACGTGAAACACATTTACTTTGACGTATGTTTATTCAATTCTCATTTACCAATTTTAAAATGGATATCACGTGTTGCTCATGTGATTTTAATTCATAAATGGCAATTCATGAACATTCCATACATATATTGGTGCATTATCTATTCTATTTACAACACTGTATTTATCTGAGTTCAGCCTTTGATAGAGCTTACATGCCTACGCAATCAATTTCAATTTTTATTTACATTGAAAGTGACAACCGTAACTGAAGATAAATGTAATAATCTCCAAAGACTGAACTGTATCAAGGGTTAGAAACAATACATCTAAAAATGTGGATGATTTCTTCACTTAAAATACAGCAACATAGACTAACAGTGAGAAGACGTGATATTACACCGCGTGTACCAATGCATATAAACAACTGCAGATGCATGTTTAGTCGGGAAAATGTCGAAAATCTTTAGAAAGGGAAATTCAAGAATATTAGTAAATTTCTAAGATAATGACATCCAGGCCGGTCAAAGAAACACCGACGTCAATCTCACTGCTTATTAATTTGATCCTTCAAACTCTTGATGGATCCAAGATCAATTATAATCAATACAAAGAAAGCAACAAAGCAAAATTATGTTCATCATTCCTGTCTAACAAATTCCGCCATTGACAATTTTTAACCATTTATCTCAAGATGAATGTTCATTATAATGGCCTGAAACATGATATTTTAATGCTTAAACTCTAGTATCTGATAATTATGAGGGTCGAGTACTTTTGAAATTGAAAGATAAGTCCTAGGTCGTCGACAACCCTCCGGAATCCAACAGTAGGTTCAACGCAACTGCGGTTGCCTCTCCTAGCACCGTTGACGAATGGGTACAGATTATAAGGAAGAAACAACGCAGCGGTATAAAAAGGGATCCTGCCCCCGTAAAAGTAGTCGAAAAATCGAAAGCTGGTCCCAGCGACAGATCAGTTATTTTTCACAGAATCAAGGAGAGTGAGAGCTCTGAACATAAAGCTCGTTTTGAGCATGACATTGTGCTGATTAAACAGCTGCTTAATCAACTCTCGACTTCCATATAACTGTCAGTCACGAGCACGCGTCAGTCCAATCCAGACCTAACGTCTGGAAAGCAAACATACAAGATATCATGCACTCAGCATCGTTAGTAGATTGGACAACAGACCCAGTGTCCTCAATTGAAACGGCCTGAGACGCATTTCGAAATTCATACTTAAATGTTATCACACCCCACATCCCTTGGACTATACCAAAGGGGCCGAGAATATCCCCACCATGGTTCAGTAGGGGGGTTCATATCCTTCTCCATAAGAGAAGAAAAATGTGGGATAGATTTAGGGTACTGGGGACTGATGAAACTAAATCCCAGTATAGAAATGTCCGGAATACCTGTGCCTCGACCCTCCTTAAGTCTAGAAAGTTGTACGAAGAAAAGAATGTTAGGGAATCCATAGAATTCCCTAAGCGCTTGTATTCTTATATGAACCAAAGGACATAGAGTAAAGGAAATATTCCTGCTCTATGGGGAGACAGTACTGCCGCGTCACTAGTGGAGGACGACTTTGGTAAGGCTCATGTGTTCTCGAACTACCCTAGCAATGTATATACCATAGAAGCACCCTTCCCATCAGTGCATACAGATCCCCCACACATACACTGGATAGCGTGACCATTAAAGAACTTGGTGTCTTTGGTCTACTAAATAAGCTTGACATAGGTAAATCCACGTAGCCTAATAAATTACATCCTAGGCTAATGAAGGAATTATCTAACTTCGTTGCGAACCCTTTAAGTATATGCTTTAACCTATCCGTAAAACAGGGTCGTTTTCCAAAAGACTGGAAAAACGCCATAGTAAGTTCTGTCTTCAAAACAGGTACGAAACACAAACCTGAGAATTACTGCCCCGTTAGCCTAACTAGTGTGGTTGTTAAAATCTTAGAAAAGATTATTCGGAAAGAGCTTTTTAAGTACCTCGATGAAAACTGGATCCTTTCGGAGGAGTGGCATGGCTTTAGAAGAGGTTATTCTTGTCTCACTAACTTATTAGTGGCTCGTGAAAGCTGGTGTGCTCTTAAGGACCAAAAGTTATCTGTAGAAGTAGCCTTCATTGATTTCAGCAAAGCTTTTGGCGAGGTTCCGCACAACCGGCTGTTATATAAGTTAAGAAATGTCGGGATTGTAGACAATCTATTTATGTGGATAAAAGACTTCCTAGTTGGGCGTCAGTAAAGAGTACGAGTGAACTCAAAGTTATCTAGCTGGGGAACTGTGCTTGGTGGGGTGCCTCAGGGACAATGAGCTTTTGGAAAAGGTTCAGAGAGCAGCAACCAAGCTGATTCTCGGAATAGCGAAGCTTTCGTATGATGCTCGACTGGCCAAGCTAAACCTATTCCCGTTGTCATATCGCGGAACTAGATACGACTTGATGATGTCACAGGTATTCAGTGTTTGACAACGCTTCTACCAGTAACACCTAATATATTTCGTTCCCACCCAGAGAAATCAAAAGACAGAGTCGAGGAGATCGGAAGAGTATATTTGGCGATGACCAATATATCGGAATTCTCTGATCTAATCTGGCTAGCAATTGCGGTTGATGTTGAGCACGGCGTTACCACACGTGATCTGGTGCGGATGCCTGACCGAGCGCCTTCAGCTAGATGAGTCCACTAAAACATATGGTCAGCATCCAATGTCGAAAACTTAGAGCTATTTATTTTGGGGATTTATTTACCGCTACAACTTGATTACAGTTTTCAAATTGCTTAGTGCCTAATTCGCACCTGATATGCCCTCATTTTCCTTGTCTTCCAAAACAGAGAATTTACGAGCACACTCCAAAAAAATTCACAAGCCCAGGACAAATTACTTGTCAGCTGACTATCGACTTTCCCATTGAATCATCAACGAGTGGAACTCATTACCTCAGCACGTGGTTGAGGCTCCGTCCGTCGATTCTTTCAAAAGAAAGTTGGATCGACTAAGGGACCACCATTGCCAAGACTAATACAGGCCACCAGGCCTCCTGTCCTTCCCAAACTGAAACTGATTTATACCCGGGGAAATTGAGTTTGGCGCGCAGGCATGTCAGCGGAGTATCATAATGTCGAGCTTCGTATGTTTGATGAGGCCCAGTTCACTTGTCGAACGCTCGGAACTGGATTGACAGTTGGATTGAGAAACTCTAAAGTGATTTCTCTTCGGTAAGTGCATTGGAGTGTTTTCACTGTCACAAAAGTAGGGATAATGAGACCGTCAGGGAAATCCATATTTCCTCTCTGGCTAATATATATCGTTTCTCACAAAAAACAGTAGCTGTCTGTACGAAAAAATGCGTCGGGGACGCGGTCTTCACTACTTATTTGTTGGGGTTCGATTCTCCGGGGGATGTCCGTAGCTTTTTAGTAAGTGCTATATGTTTTGTAAGTAAATTGCACAGAATTCTTCCGGTCTACTGAAACCGCTATGTGAAGAGGACAAGAAGGAGACCCGCACTTCCATTTTCGATAAGCGTACTGACTCTTGGTCTGCAGTACAATATTTTCAATTTTACAGTTACATCAGTCAGCAACAAAATATGATGCAGGTATGTTTTCAGAAATTCTTCAGAATTTCTGATAAGTTATTCCTTTTTGAGTATCGCACCACCTACCTTTATTCTTTACGTGGATTGTGAACCTAAACATGCTTTAGTACACTGAAAGTTGTAATCAGTACTAGTCTCAAAAGAAAATGTAGAGAAATTAAAAGGTCTCGGTAACTGCTTATCAGGCCCGTTTAATAATAATAAAGTGGCCAATGAAATGCAATTTGCGTCAAGCAGTTTGTGATGTCTATCGATACTTTCAATGTATCCTATTGGTATCGTCTTTTCATCAGTTTCATTGTACTTAACCCATCACTTCAAACCTTATATCTTCACACACTTCTATGTAAGCAAACATGTAGTTTGTTTGGCCTTCAAAGTGTACAAAACATGGAAGTGTACTCGGAAGGTTTTGAATGGTATACTGTTTAAGGGCATTGATAGCGTGTCAGAAGTGTACCTTCATGGGCAAATTATCGCATGAAAATTGCAAGTATAATCGTATCTGCACGAATGCATTCTTTTTTAATCTTCTATATTCATCAGATTCTTTTGTTTTCCATCCCCAACGTACATTCTTAAAATTTACTTCGCGAATTCCTCTCAATTCAAATTCAGTAATGTAAACTTATTCACTGCTGCAACATTCTGCCTAGACGTGTTCACCGTAAACTAACCTACAATCGAAGGTCTTTTTTTTCCTTACAACTACATTTTTGACGCTGCCTTAGAACATAAACTCAGATTATCCTCATTGACATTCATACACATCCACCACATGCATTAATCTCTAGAACTCGGCTACACGGTCATTTAATTAATGTCATTTGTAATAAACGTACCTGTTTGTATTGTAATGTAACCACTAGTTCATATGTTGCTACCTTAATTATTTGTGACCTTTGACTTATCAGCTTAAGGCGTTTTGAATGCAGGTAGTGATGTGTAATTACTCAATTATTGATTTTTTGAAATGATTATCACTCACATGCATTTCGCTTGTTGCTCGGAAACGAAGTCAACATCTTAATACCCATCTAACAATAGCTTCCAAACTTAATAAAGCTAACCACCCGTCCCGTTTCTAGGCACTAAATATTTCACGGTTTCATTTACAAACATGTAACTAATTCATTCCTATTTGCACTTTATGAGTTTGACACTTGCATAACTTGTGGATTGTTCATAAAGCTACAATGGGTTTCTGGACATTATTCCGACTTATTTTGATTTCCTGTAATGGTTCACTAGTGTACACTTTGTTTACTTCTATTTGATTTATATTTCTTAGGACTATATTCGCACTTCAACCTACCAAAGAGCTATTCTCGCAAATGCTTCCGCCGACTTTCGCGGAAAAGTGGTATTGGATGTTGGAGCTGGCTCAGGAATTTTGAGCTTCTTCGCAATCCAAGCTGGTGCAACAAGGGTTTATGCTGTTGAAGCATCTAATATGGCTACTCATTGTAATAGTCTAGTTCAAGCAAATAAATTGGCGGGACGCATTGTTGTCATCAGGTTAGTTAGAGTTTATGACTGCTTATGATTATTTATCTAATGTTTTAAAATCTCATCAAAGCCAATATATTACACCACGAAGTTTCCGACTAGATAGTGGATTTAAGCAAAAGCGCAAATTGTAAACAACTATTATTTAATGATTTTAATGAAGTATTGGGGAATTAAGTACATTTTTAAAGTTGTCCAAAATAAGTACCTCATCAATGCCTTGTATTAGACTTATCAACTTGAATGTGCGTATTTATTGCTTGTGCAACATTTGGATATCGATATATGGTATTGATATTATCATGATGACTACATACGTAATTCAAGCTGAATTGCATCATTCATAAACATTTGAATTCCAATAATCCTCTATTTTAAAAATCGCCAGTTCAGACACTACTGATTTATATTTATATTTTGGGTACCAGTATACCGAAACGTTTAGTACCTTATTAATGTTCTCCGACCATATTATTAGGGCGCTAATAAAGTTCGTACCGTGATACTAAGTTACCAACTGTTATAATCTCTTTCTTACGGTTATGACCCAGCTATTCCTATCGCTTAGTATTCTCGGACACCAATCACTCGACAAGTCCCCAAATCAGAACACGGTTGAACAGGAAAGAGATCATATTCCAAATAACAAGGTTAGACGGAAGTAAGATGCAAGTAAGAAGCACAATAGAGAAAACGTCAGTATATTTATAGTTTTCACATGAGAAGATTCTAGAGTATTCTCCAACTATCGACTAGTGCTGATTGGATAAGAATTAGCCAATCAGCGTGCAGCAAAGAAATCGTGCATTGAGCATGCTTTAATCGAGTCTATGTCCCGCTAACACCAACTCTGAATTTAAGTCTCATATACTATGTCAACAATCCATTCGTCATTTCTACACTTGTTATTTACGAGTCACTTTAGTTAAACAAGTTATTGGCACTTAGTTTGAAGCTAAATTTGTGAAATTCTTTTCACATTTGAGATAAATCGGTATTTTTTTTGTTCATTCTGCTTAATACACCTGTCTAGAAATAAAGTTCACACTTTTCAATACTTAGGTTAAATTTATCACTCAAAAACTTACTAAAACTATTTTACTCTTAGTGGGAAAATAGAAGAAATCACTTTGCCCGAACCAGTGGATGTCATTATATCTGAGCCAATGGGTTATATGTTATACAACGAGAGAATGTTAGAATCGTATGTTCATGCAAGAAAGTTTCTAGCTCCACATCTTCGACAGCCATTAAAAAAGAAGCAGAACAGACGTGAGCATGAACGACTTAATGAAGATGATCAATCACCATATGTCAAACAGTTGTCAGATTCTGAGCATTCTGATGAAGTATTAACTGATGAGTTGGACTGTGAAGATATTGACATAGAGGATCAGGTACATGATGGCGCGACAAAATTATCTAATAGATCATTACCTTGCCCCGGAATAATGTTCCCGTCTGTAGCAAATTTGTATATTGTTCCATTCAGTGATGAGGCACTCTTCGCTGAACAGTACGGGAAAGCTAACTTTTGGTATCAACAGGTTAGTTTAGTAGTCTTCAAATTATTTTATTCGTTTACATCAACAAAATTGTAAAGGCATTATCATTTTAGTTTCTGCTAATTGTTACTCTCTAGTTATCTCGCCCTTGCAAATTATCCTTGGCTGCGTACTTGATATTCTTACCTTCGACCTAAACTCAAAGATTTCCATACTTTGGTTTGTTTGTGGTCGGTTAAACAACTGCAGGTGTTTATCGAATATTGTACCCTTAGAAGTTGGATTTCTCTACTGGTCCTCTCCAACGCCCAATATTAGCGATACTGTTTCAGTCAGTCAGTCAGCAACAACGTAGGACCAGGCACATATATGCATCGGTTCAAGTTGCCATACCTCATTAACACAACAAGATGGACACCGGATTCATTAAAGTAGTTAATTCAGAGGTGGTAATATATAAAAGAAAGATTGTATATAAGGAAGAAAGAATTAGTTGGTAGAAAGAAAGATATGAAGTGATTTTAATCTCTTAGTTTAGGGGAAGACAGAGAGTGTGTACACCGACGCCATTGTGATCGATTCTGAGCCATGTCACCCAGAGTCTCCAATCATTGGTTACGATAGTCACGCGGACCCCAACTAAGTTGTCTGCATCTACCAGCATGGCTAAGACTAGAAGTTAGTGACTTCAAGCACTGATGCCACGTTTTGGTTTGGCCGCCCCTAACTTCCTTCCAACCATCTCCAACGCCGGTTAGCATTGCACGTCGTGGTAATCGGTGTTCAGGCATAGGTAACATGTGGCCCAACCTCTTGAGTCGATGTAGATTCACAAATTCATCAACTGATTCACCATCATTTCCTCCTAAAACCTTGCGTCTAATCTTACTGTTACTTACCCGGTGATCCCAGCAGAAGCCAGCAATATTTCTAAGGCATCTGTGGTCAAATACTAATAGCTTACGAGTGTCTTCTACTCTTAATGGCCATGTTTCGCTGCCGTAAATTAAAACAGAACGGACTGCCGCGCAGTATACTTGTCCTTTTATTGATAGACGGACACCTCGCCTTCGCCACAGGTGACGGAAGTTGGCGAAAGCCAAACGAGCTTTTCGAATCCGTGCAGAGATTTCGTCAGACACCAACCCATTAGGGCTGATCAGACTTCCAAGATAAGTGAAGTTGTCAACGCGTTCGACTACTCCACTCCCTATCCTTAGTTCAGGTGTTAACGCAGACCAGTCCTGAAGCAATAACTTGGGTCTAGAAGGGAAAAGCATCCCAAACATTCTGGCATTGTCGCTCAGTGCTACTGAAAGACTGCATTTTACCAGCGTCTTCACCAAACAGGACTATATCATCTGCGTATTCTAAGTCGATAAGTGGATCTCCTGGAAGAAGATCAATACCCGAGAATTCAGTCGACGAGAGTGTTATTTCCATCACAATGGTGCACATGGGCTCCAGTATCCTGCGGGAACGAATGGCGTATGAACCAATCGTTGGTCACCGGCTACCATGGGACTGCATCTCCTTACGATGCTCCACTGCCTTGTGGGTTAGACCTTTAGGTCAAAGGCTCGGGGAGTGGCCCCCTAAGATAACCACCTGCTTCGGTTTGGGCACCCGGGCAGTATCACAGCCCACACACAAATGATGAACTGTTTATGTCTATGGAAACTACTTTTGTCGCTTTGAAAAACAATCAATTGATTCAAATTATGATCACTTCAATTATTGTCATTATTAATACTAATATTATTATTACTACTATTATTGTCATTATTGTTATTATTATCATTATTATTATTATTTTCCACATTATTCACCTTCTTTTATACTTATACAGCGGCTCGTCTTTGGTGGAATTCCGACTGTATCTAAACGTTCTCGAGTCACTGTCCGGTTGAAAATTGTATGTTACCACCGAATACGAGGACTGAAGCAGATTTTCTGAAACCACGTGCATCATTCAAACTGGCTGCCTTCAACGTTCGCACATTTATGCAGGTCGGACAACAGATAGGGCTGGCTATGTCTTTGGAAAGTCTTAATATCGACGTGTGTTGTCTATCCGAGACCCGTATTCAAGACTCTGGCGAAGTACTACAAATTCGATCTCCATCTGTCGCTTCGAAAAGCTTGTTTTACGTGCGCTTATCCGGGGACCCTGTGGCATCTTCGTCTGGTTTTGCTGGCGTTGGTGTCGCACTAAGCGCTAGAGCTGAGGCAGCACTAGTCGATTGGATCCCCATTAACAGTCGGTTATGTGCTGTTAGATTAGAAAGTTCCACCAAAGTGAGAAGAAATCGGCGTGAGAAACGATGTCTTTTCGTCATCTCCGCCTATGCCCCGACAGATTGCAGCCCGGATGCAATCAAGGATGAGTTTTACCACCAGTTATCAGTTCTTCTCCAGAAAGTGCGTTCGACAGATATTGTAGTACTAGCCGGAGACTTGAATGCTCAGGTCGGGCGTCTAGGCACAGAAGAGAGTCGTTTAGGTGGCCGATGGGGACTCGTTGGTCGCAGGTCAGATAACGGGGACCGTCTACTGCAACTTTGCGCAGACCACAACCTGTTTCTGGCTAGCACTAACTTTCGGCACAGTCATCGCCGATGTGCCACCTGGCGTCCTCCCTCTGCATCTCAAGCCTGGACTCAGATTGATCACATCGCGATCAGCTACCGCTGGCGTGGTTGTGTACAAGACTGCCGCTCCTTTTGGAGTACCTATCTGGACTCTGACCACGCCTTGGTCTGCGCCAATCTTGCCTTACTTTTCAGTGGACAACGAAGTGAACGCCATCAACGGATTGATGTTAGCAAGCTGGTTGCAACTTCTGTTGCAAGTAAGTATCGAACCGAGCTAGCCTCTAGGCTAGCTACCACTCCACCGAAAAGTATAGATGAGCATTGGTTGCAATTGCATGACGCCATGAAAATGGCGGGTACAGTCAGTTGTGGGTTTGCGAAACGTCCCGCTTTTAAGCACTGGGTTTCTTCTGGTTCCTTACAACTCATTGAAGCCCGTCGGTCTACTCCGGGTAACCGTGAGTTTGACCATAAACGAAGGTTTTTACGTAAGGAAATCGGGCAAAGCTTGCGTAAGGACCGAGAAGCCTGGTGGTCGATGCGTGCTAATGAGCTGGAAGCAGCAGCTGCATCTGGTAACTACCGGAAGCTCTTCCAACTCATCCGAGCCACTGGCAGCAAGAAGTCTGGTGTGAGTGAAACAATCTGCGAGGATGATGGGATGCCAATCACTAACATCCATCGACGTCTTGGACGATGGGCAGAATTTTTCGAAGGGCAGTTCAACTGGCCTGCTGCTCCGGTAACATCGGTCAGACTGTCCTGCCCTCCATGGCCGGTGACGACTGATCCACCAAATGAGGAGGAAGTCCGCAAGGAACTCCAACTCTTGAAGCGTTACAAATCACCTGGCCCAGATGACTTACCTCCGGCTCTTTTTAAAGATGGTGGTGACTTTTTGACTAAGGAATTGACGACGTTGTTTACAAAGGTTTGGGATCTAGAGAGTGTACCAACGTCATGGAATGAGTCGATAGTTGTCCCTATCTTTAAAAAGGGTTCACGTCGTTCTTGTAACAACTATCGGGGGATAAGTTTACTTCCGATTGCGTCCAAGCTATTGGCTTCCGTCATTCTTCGTAGGTTGTTCAAAACCCGAGAAAGATTGACTCGCGAGGAGCAGGCTGGGTTTCGTTCTGGTCGAGGATGTATTGATCATATCTTCACCCTCCGCCAAATGTTAGAACACCGCCATACTTTTCAAAGGCCAACAATCGTTGTGTTTCTTGACATCAGGGCTGCCTTCGATTCGTTGGATAGGACTGTTCTCTGGGATTGTCTATTGAAGAAGGGTGTGCCTGAGAAGTTTATTAACATCCTAAAAGCCCTGTATAAAAACACCTCAGGCAGAGTGAGGGCATACAACCACCTCTCTCCATTGTTCCATTCGAGCAGTGGGGTTAGGCAGGGTTGCCCAATCTCACCATTCCTCTTCAACTTTGCCATCGATGACATTCTGGAAACAGCTCTGATGAATGTAAGTAATGGTGGTGTGGATCTGTTGCCTGGAGAAAGACTTCTCGACCTTGAGTATGCGGACGATATTGTCTTACTGTGCGATAATGCCCAAGGCATGCAATCCGCACTTAATCAGTTGGCAATCAATGTCCGTAGGTATGGTATGTGCTTTGCACCTTCGAAGTGCAAAGTACTTCTGCAAGACTGGCAGGATCCCAATCCTGTACTCACCCTGGATGGTGAGCAGATAGACGTAGTTGAGAAGTTCGTGTATCTGGGTAGCTGCATAAGTGCTGGTGGGGGTGTGAGTGATGAGATCAATGCACGAATAGTGAAAGCCAGAGCGGCTTATGCCAATCTGGGCCACCTTTGGCGCCTTCGTGATGTCAGTCTGGCTGTAAAAGGCCGGATCTACAACGCGTCGGTGAGAGCAGTTTTGCTCTATGCTTGTGAAACCTGGCCTCTCCGAGTTGAGGACGTTAGACGACTCTCTGTGTTTGATCATCGCTGTCTCCGAAGGATTGCTGACATTCAGTGGCAACACCATGTTAGTAATGCAGAGGTTCGGCATCGTGTGTTCGGGCACAGAGATGATAACTCAATTGGTGTCACCATCTTGAAACACCGACTTCGGTGGCTTGGACATGTTCTCCGAATGTCGTCCCAGAGAATTCCACGTCGTGCATTATTTGCCGACTCTGGGACTGGTTGGAAGAAGCGGAGAGGTGGTCAGTGCATGACATGGTGTCGTGGCATGAAAGAAAGCTGCAAAGGACTGGCTTGTGTTGGTCCTTCACGACTCCCTGGCTGGGGTCCGAGAGATGGTGCAACACAGTGGCTAGAGACGTTATCAGATATGGCTCAGAATAGAAGCCAGTGGCGATCCTGCTGTAACCTTCTTTTACTTTCTTCATAAAAAGTGGTTGTGTCTCCTTTACCTGAAAGATTTCTTCTGATTGTACCTCTTCGTCATTACTCTCTTTTTCTTTT